TAATGGTTAAGGACTGGACACCGGAGCAAACGGCCTGGTGCTGAAAACCGAGACAACCCTTTGGAAGCTATGTGGCCCCGGGCAAATAATTTAACCTCTCTGTGTCTCTATGGCCTTATCTGTAAAATCCAAGGGGAGCATATAATTGCACTATATCTATCTTACTGGGTGGTAATGGCAAGTAAATAAGATAATGTATTCATGAAATATGCAGAGCAGTACCGGGGGAAGCCTGCAGATACCGAGATCGGGAGTACACGTGCTGGGGTTTTAACCTAAGGCCTCAAGCGTGTTGACAAATGCTTCAACAGGGGCCCACACTCCCAGGCCCTCACAGGCGAGTCCAGGAAGGCCACATACTAAGGCATGACTGGAATCTCCAGTTTTTTAAAAAAGTTATTACATTTATATGTTTAGTGTGTGTGTGTGTGTGTGTGTGTGTGTGCGTGTGCGCGCGCGCGCGCCATCACTCAAGTGTAAAGATCAGAAGACAGCTTGCCAGAGTCATTTCTCTCCTTCCACCGTGTAGGTCCTGGGTACCGAATTCAGATTGCCAGACTTCGTGGCAAGTGCCTTTATCTCCTGAGACATTTTGCCAACCGCCCTGGTACTGCTTTCTGAGACAGTGCCTCACTCTGTTGCCCGGGCTGATCTGTCACTCACTATGTAGCTTAGGTTGGCCTCAAACTCAAAGCATGTCTCTTGCCTCACTCTCTCGAGAAGCCAGATCTCATGTGCAAACCACCACAGCTGACTGTCCTCACTTCTTATTACTTCAAGAGCCAAGGCCTGGGAGGGCAGTGGTTTGGGCTTGATTGACAGCTCCAGCCAGGTGTGGCAGCACACACCTCTAATCCCAGCACTGGGAGGCAGAGGCAGGAGGAGCTCTAGAGTTTGAGGCCAGCCTGGTCTACAAAGTGAGTTCCAGGACAGACAGCCAGGGCTACACAGAGAAACCCTGCCTTGAAAAACAACAACCAACCAACCAACCAACCAACCAACCAACCAACCAACCATGACAGCACCTGATTATCATTGATTCTGATTTTTATTATTGATTCTGATTATCAGCACTAGAGGCAGGAGGATTGTGAGCCAGGCTAGCCTGGGTTACTGCGTGCATTCAAGGCCAACCGAGGCTATGGTACCAAGGCACTGCCTCCAAAAACAGAAAGAAGAAAGCAAAGCCAGAAGGGGGGAAGGGAACGGATTGGAGACACCCTTAGGAGTCAGGACAGTGGAATGCAGGGTGGCTTCAGGGGTGGTGGGTGGGGCGGGGACCCCGGAGAGCTGAGGTGTCCTCGGGGTGTAATTATGCAGATGTGGGGCAGGCAGGGAGGCTAGAGGTCAGGGGTGGAGGTGTAAATTGGGATCCAGGATAGGGGTGGTGTGGCTCTCTCTCTCTCCTCCAGGGGTTGCTCAGGCAGGTGAGCTGCTGTTGGACTCGGAAAATACTGGGCGTGGCTGAAGAAACCGCTTCAACTGTTTAGAAAGGGGTGGGGGAGGGGGAGGATGTTTTCAGAGAAAGGGAAGGTGGGAAAGACAGAACAGGGTTGAGATAAGCCTTGGGGGGGGGGAGACTCTTATTTTCAGATACGGTTGTACTATGCAGCTCTGGCTGGTCTCACACTCAAAGCCTCCGCCTCCCGAGTGCTGGGATTATGTGGTGGTGTGCACCGCTATGCCTTTTCTTTCTTCCTCTCTCTCTTTTAGAGATGGAGTGACTTCGGTTTTGTGCTCTGTTCAGGGGGTGCTTGGGTGATGTCTTGGAGAGAGACAGAGAGACGGCGTGGGTGTGGGAGGGACGCAGGACCCAGCAGAAAGTACCTGCATTTGATGAGATGGTGGGGGCCCGCCGGGCCCTCCCGTTTATTTAAATTACGGAAAGAGGTGACTGTGTGTGCTCATGTGACCCAGCTGTGTTTGTGAGAATGGGAGTGGGTCCATGTGAGAATGGGTTTGCCCTTGTGTGTCCAGATGTGTTTGTGTGTGTGTGTGTTTTATGGATGTTCCCAGTGAGGTCAGAGACTACTTGGTCTCTGGACAGTGAAGGGCATTCCCTTGCCCAGTGTTGGCCCTGCTCTTAAGAGGGCCCGTATATGAGGGGTGAGAGACGTTGAGGAGCTGGGGAGTTTAGTACCGGGAGAGATTGGAACTGGTGGGTCTTCCCAGAAGCCTCGCCTTAGGGAGGCTGTGGGTGTGCAATTCTTCCTGGCCCGTCTGCCTCTGGAATGTTGCTGCCACCTGGTGGCCAGCTAGGGCGGCTAGGTCTCTGTTCAGGAGCAGGGACTTAGCCCCACCTGCTGGTCACGAGCGGTTCTGCACCCATGAAGTCCGTGTTGGCAGCCGCAGGAAGCTGCCTGGGAGGGGGAAGTGGCTTGTCCTGTCTGCTAGGCTCAGAGGGTCTGTCCTTAGGAAGTTTAAATGCCTCTCCCTGGGGGGACTGGATTCTGCTGTCAGGCCCAGGAGGGACGCTGGGCTTTGAGATGCCTGTTGTTGTGTCTATCCCGACAATGGCTTCTACATCCAGGGAAACTCAGCCATTCAAAGACAAAGGCCTGGTGGGGACCGTGTGCCTGCGTGTGTGTGTGTGTGTGTGTGTGTGTGTGTGTGTGTGTGTGTGTGTG